CTTTCTCTGGCTCCTCAAAGGAAGCAGAGCTCATGGAGAAGCCACGGAGAGCAGACAATAATTAAGGCAAAATCCTTTCTTCCAACACTCCTTCCACCACAAATCATGGATGAGGGAGCCAGCTGGAGCTCTGCAGAGACCCCTTCTTGCTGTATCCCTCCGTGTAACCCTGCGCTGGCCCCGGCACGGCAGCGGCACTGCGGTGCAGGCAGGACTCAGGCAGGCACTGAAGACAGGGTGGTAATTACGAGTTTCAAGCAATCTGAATTTATAATTGGCTGAGATTTCACTCAGCAGATAATGCACTGCCGTCCTGGGCACTTGCTGTATCTAGGTCAGGCCATTAGTTTTGCTCTTAATCTACACACAGTTTTAATTTCATCTTTAATGTCGAATTCCAGCCAGCAAGCTGAGCCAGCGGATGACTTTGTCACTGATTGCATTCAACATCTCGACCCCTCCTGAACCCACAGAGAGGGAAAACAAGCACCAACATCCTGATGTACTTGGACCACTCCCAGCCAAGCTCATGCAGCCGGAGCGCTGGCGCTGCCTGTTGGACCGGGAAATCAGAGAATCATGGAATGGTTTCAGTTGGAATGGACCTCAAAGACCATCTATCCACTCCCCTGCCACGGGCAGGGACACCTTCCTCTAGACTAGGCTGCTCCAAGCCCTGCTCAACCTGGCCTTGAACACTTCCAGGGATGGGCCAGCCAGAGTTTGTCTGGGCAACCTGTGCCAGTGTTTCAGCATCCTCATCATAGAAAACTTTTGGGAAGCAGAAGCCATTGCTACCAAGGAGCCAGCCTGGTCCATGCTGCCAGTGGATGCCTCACCCACCACACGAGGTGCTGCACGGGACAGCAGGACAGGCAGTGCACAGCTCAGCAAGGACACAGAGCAGAGCACACCCCAAGTCCCACACCCAGGTGGCACTCCAGGACCTCTGAGGGCCTAGGATGGGAGAACATGCCATGTTAAAACTCAGGTCCACTTTCTGAGGGCACCTTCCTGCCCCTCACCTCATCCTCACAGTACCCACTGGGTGCCACACCTCCCCTCACCTGTGGGATGCCACCACCAGTATTTCATCCCCCATTATCTCCGCAGCTCTCCAAGCAGGTCAGCACAGCACTGGAAAAAAGCAACTCCATTACAGATACTTTCCTACCCCAGGAGATGTTGTTCCCTTCCCTCACTGTCTCTGGGGCTGATAACCCTTGACATGAACCTTCCCAGAGAAACAGAATGCTGCTGCAGCCATCCCAGGCATCCCAGCTTCAGAAAGCTCCTGGACACGCTCCAGCGCTCCGACCTCTGCCCCATCCTGCCCCAGCATCCACATGGTCCCTGCTTAAATCCGGAAAACTGCTCACACCGGCCAGAATCTTTACAGCATGAACAAGTGGGGTTCAGGATGCACAAAAATAAACCCATCACAGGTGTTAAAGGGATTAAAGATGGTTCCTACAACACTTGGAGGTGTATAATACAGTATAGATGGATCACTGCAGAGCATCCACAGGGAAGTCAGGTTGCTGGCACACTCTGGAGGCTTTGGATGACAAACTGGCTTGGAGGGAAGGAGAGCACTAGGATGAGGTTTCTGGTCTATACACAACAGTCCAGTTTCAGGCACTCAGCTCTTCTAAAGAAAGGAAAAAAATTCCCCACCGAAGATTTCTATGGAAAGCACAGCCCTTCTGACAACAGGAAGTTACTCACTTCAAAAACCCAATTTTCCATCAAAAAAAAATCCAAGTTGAAAGGCGTTTCCAGCTCACTCGAGCTGCAGGATCAAAGCCAGGGATTAAGTGCCTCTGCTCACTGCTGGCTGCACGAGTGTGTCATGGAGCTCTGGGAGCAGACACGGAGCTCACCGACAGCATCCTGTGGAGGGGGCAGAGCCCTGCCATGGGAACGGGACACAGGGCAGGCCTGCGGGAGCAGCAGCATCCTACCAGCACATTTTTAAGGGTTTCAACTATTTCAGGCACTTGCAAGGACTTTGAGCGCTGCCAGGGAGCGTGTGGCGGTCAGAGCTGTGGACTGAGGCGGCGCGAGGAGATGGCACAAGATGATAAAGCAAACGTTGGCTCTGCTGGTGAAGCCCAGCATTGATGCCAAGCAATTCCTGCAGCGGAGGTAGAGCGTTAGGAAAAGAGACACAGAAAACCAGCCCAAACAGTGCACAGCCAGAGGCAGGGATGTGCTGGAGGATGAGCCAGAGGAAGGGCACATAGGGGGTCGCCCCCAGGTAGTTGGGGCCACCCTCACGCCTGCTCCCCCTCCACCTCCAGCCCTGCAGCGAGTGGGGAGCTGGGCAGGGTGAACGGCACAGGAAGAATGTTTGCAGCAGAGGACAGCTTCCCTCCACAGCCAGAATCACTTCAGACTGCTATTTAAAAGGGGAAAAAAAATGGTGTTCTGGCAGCCTGCAAAGCTTCCTCAGATGGATTTGTGTGGCTGGCACGGACCAGATCAGGGAGGAATAGTCCAAGGTTTTAATTTCCCTGCCCAGGTTTTATTGCGTGCAAACATAGGTGGTCATTGCTTTTGAAGGTTTCCAATTTGCAAACGTCTCCTCATGGAAAAAGAATGTCCTGCACTTTGGATGGGGCTGCTGGCACAGCTCCACGCACCGAGGAAGCTTAGGTGAGGCGTGATGTGATGGGAGATGGGCACGTCAGGGGCCGCAGGAAAATCCCAGCCTCCCCATAGACCCCGTTTGGCAGCACTGACCCAAAGCCAAACCTCGTGCCTGGAAAAAGGGAAGAAAGAAACAACATCCAGGACATCCCACCGCCCATTCCTCATGCTGTCATGGGCGTTTAGTCACAGCACTAGGCACCTTGCAGTGGGTTTGGGAGGGTTTGGAGAGGGGCAGGTGGGAAACCAGCCCAGGAAACTGAACATCTAGGAAGATTTCTTTCCAGGCATCTCAGGGTGTTTAAAAACAAGGAAGAAAAAAAATAATCTGGTCTGCACAAAAAAAACCCCTCAAGTCTTCTGCATTTTTGCTGGAGCAACAGAAGTATTCCTTCTGCCCTCAAAATCCACCAGAGCAGAGACCGCACTTTTGTTCTGAACATGAACAGGACAAAGAGTCAAGAAATGCACTTTTGGGTCAGAACAAGCATGGTACATGAAGGGAGAAAGGTCTAAGGAAGCAGCAGCTGGGAAAGGCATGAGCAGGGTTCTAATGGGAACATGACTGCTGCCACAGCCTCACCAGCGTGACCTCGGATGGGACCTGTTGTAGTTTTTTTTCATATTAAAAAAAAAAAGGGGGGGGTTAAAAGCTTTTTTTTTTTTTTTTTTGCAGGCTCATCCAGATTGCACAGGGGACAGAGAGGGATTTCAAACTTTATATAGGGCAAACATCATCCATGGAGGTTCACATCACTGCATGCAACCGCAGCCCCCGCATAAAGACTGAGCTTCAAAGTGCTCTGGTGGGACCCTGGGAAGTTTGTCAGCTCCCTCCTGAAGACCAGCAGAACAGTAGCTCAGTTCAGATCAGTATGTGCCACGAGTGAAGGGGCTGGAGATGCATCACCCACTTCTGCCACTGCAGCCTGGGGGGGTTTAGGATAGAAAAGGTGGGCTGTCCTAGAGAAAAAGCTCCCTGCCACAGGAGCTCCCGCTGCTGGAAATGCTTCAGTGGAAGCGAGACCCCAGACAGTGGGACCACGGGGAGATCTTCAGAAACCTTCAAATCCTTGTCAGCCTTCAGTCACCTTTTCCTCCCTAGGCAAGGTCCTTCTGGGAACACAGAAGTGTTCAGGCCAGCCCCCCCCGGGATGGCATCTGCAAGGAGCCAAAGTGCTGAGATGCCATAGGAGGGTGAAGGACAGAAGAGAAGTTTGAGGCACTTGGGAAGCTCCAACATTGCCTCATTGGATCACATAAGGATCTGGGTTAAGAGTGACATTCAGAGACCATCCAATCCAACCCAAAGTCCCTTTAGGCACTGCAAGAGGCTCTAAGATCTTTCTGGAGCCTTCTCTTCTCCAGGCTGAACAATCCCACCTGTCTCAGCCTTTCTTCCTAGCAGAGGTTCCAGCCTTTGGACCATTTCTGTGGCCTCCTACAAGCCTGTTCCAATAGGTCCATGTGCTCCTTGTGCTGGGGGCCCCAAAGCTGGACCTCAGTGCTCCAGGGGGTCTCACCAGAGCAAAAGGGGAGAACCCTCTCCCTCCACACTGCTGGGGATGCACCCAGGACACAGCTGGATTTCCAGGCTGTGAGCACACATTGCCAGCTCATGTCCAGTTCTTCACCCACCAGCATCCCCAAATCCTTCTCCACAGGGCTGCTCCCAAACTATCTGTCCCCAAGGCTCAGAGCCTGAGCCTTTCCTCACACAGTAGAGGAGCCCTGAGCAAGCCGGCTCAAGGGGGGCACAAAAGCATTCCTGGAGCACTTCCCAAGGCTCAGTGGTCCTCAGGCAAAGGGAGAGCCTGCAGGGGACGATTTATGGGCAGTGGGAGGTTTCCATGTGCTGCAGCCTATGGATTGGGAGACTGTGGAACAGCTTTCCCAAAGGAAATGGAAACAGTTCAACCTGTCCTGCTCCCATCCTCCAAGAGGGCTGAGCAGGCATGGCCTGAGGGCTAAAGCCTTAGGGGATGGTGCTGCATGTCTCCCAGGAGACCTCCCTCTGCCATCTCAGCTCTCCCACAGGACAAGGCAAAGCAACATTGACACCTGAAGTCCGATGGCATTTGGATCCAACAGCCAGACTTGGCACTCACACTCCCACACCAGCAGGAGAACCGAAAACAGCAAAGACTTTGCTCTAATGGCAAGACCAAGACCGAGCTCAGCCTCCCGTACCAGAGGAGCCCACCAGCTGCATCCCACAGATCCTTCAGCAGCTGTTTGGCTTAAATACGAGGTGCTGCTTGGGGCACCTGGAACCGGCCCCCGCTCTGAGCACTGGAGACACAGCTCCCGTGGGTGACTGCACCGCCACAGCCACGCCAGCTCCTTACCTTCAGCTTCTCGAAGCGATCACTGAGCGATGCCACTTGGTGGTCCCGGTGGCGGCCCACCAGTTTACATAAGGCACAGATGAGCTGGTCGTCAGCGACACAGTACATGTTCACCTTCTCGTTCTCGTGCTCCAGGCACGTGAGTCCGCGGAAGTGCGCGTCGGGCACCGGCTCCACCAGCCGGTGGCTGGTGAAGGGCTTCTTGTTGGGGTGGGTGGCCCGCAGGCAGCGGTCGCAGTAGGACACCTCGCAGGTGATGCAGGTCTTGACGGCGTCGCGGGGCGGATCCTGCTCGCAGAACTGGCAGGCGATCCTCTCGCTGGCCACGGACATGGTAGGGCTGTTGCGGTAGGTCCTGTCGCGGCGGCTCTCGCTGGGGGAGTTGGGGCCGCTCAGGGAGGCCTTCTGGAAGCGGTCGATGATGTTCTGCAGGGTCACATTTCTCTTGAGGCCCTCCAGGCCCCGGTGGTTGAGGGAGATGACATAGCGGCAGGTGGGGCACTGGAAGGCGGTGATGGGCTCAATGGACTCGCTGGAGGAGCAGCTGGACACCAGGATGCGGTGGGCACAGCTGAAGCAGAGGCTGTGGGCACAGGGCAGCAGGAGGGGGTCCTCAAATAACTCCAGGCAGATTGGGCAGGTCAATTCTGACTCCAGTGTTTCCATCTTTAGTTAACACGATCCTGATTCAGCACGAAAAACCAGGGAAGGTGGTCGAGAACCTGAGAGGGAGGAGAGCAGAGACATGAGACGGCAGCAACAGCGACTCTCCTGGGCAGCGCCTCTTCTCCAGCAGCAGGCACTCAGGCAGGTCAGACACGTCACTCCTGCAACACTCCAACACTCTATACATCCCACACTGTCACTACAGCCCAGCCAGTCCCCTGGAAGTGCACACCACTGTGGCTGAAGCCTCTCACTGAGGTGTCTCACCCCACCCTCACCCTGAGCCAAACCACTACTGTGGAGCAGTGGGACAAGATCCATACAGAGGGGATGGGAGATGTGCAGCAGCTGCCCTGACACCTTCAAGCCCAGCCAGGGAAGGACCTGGACCACAAGGCTGGAGACAAAACAAGGAGAAACCACACGATTTCATGTTTGTGCTGCTGAGCGCTGCTGAGGACTGGGGTGGGGCAGTGCTGGCATTCCATGCAGAAGGGCTGCACTGTACTGCAGAATTAAGCCCCTAAACATCCCCTCCAGCAGCTCCAGGCATGTCTGCTTCTAATGAGGGGGAAAAGGTGAATCATGTCCTGGAAACTCTAAGCAGAGCATGTTGGGAGCTCTTAACACCCCATCCTGCTCCCTGCTTTTCCCGGTCATTGCTTTTTGGAGCAGGGTGGGTAGGGCAGAGCAGTGAAATTATAGTCGGCAAACTTCCACCACTGGCTGTCCTCCACTGCACTCCACAACAGCCAGGGATGCCCAAATCAACTCCAGCTGGAGGCAAACAAGCTGTATTTTTAGCTCCCTTCCTCTGCATGAGCTGAAAAAGAGCTCCCAGCAGGCGACAACCTGCTGCTCCCAGCTCCGGTTTGCAGAGCACCAGGAGCTGCACCTCGAGCCCTGCCCAGCCTGCTCCCAAATGCCTGTCACATAATGACATGGAGCTGGACCCAGTCTCTCCTTTCTTACCTGCCACCTAGTGCACATGTGGTGCCTCCTGGTCTTCTCGACTCACTGCGATGTCCCTTGTCACAGACACGGGGAAAAAGCCTCATTCTGTCAAAGCCACAGGGACCCCTCACCCTGGCACTGCTGCAGGGGCCAACCCTGTCAGAAGGAACACAGTGCCCAGCCCAGCCCTGTTTCCACCCCAGCACACTTTGGTGGGGTACATGGGCTCTGCTTGGGGAGAAGAGGAAAAACTCTTCCCTGGGTGGGTGGGGAGGCCCTGGCACAGGTTGCCCAGAGACGCTGTGGTTGCCCCATGCCAGGATGGATGGGACTTGGAGCAACCCAGTCCAGTGGAAGGTGTCCCCATCCATGGCAGGGTGTGGGACTGGATGAACTTTAAGGTCCTTCCAGCACAAACCAATCTGGGATTCTGTGAAAAAGGGCTGGCTGGGGGGCATGAACCAGCAGCAGGAGAGGGTTTGGCTGCTGAAAGCCCCAGGCTGCTGCCAAGGCCTGCAAATGGCAAACTGCACAGGCGTAACCTGCACACCCCCATCCCATCACACCCATCCCTTCCATCACTCCCATCCTCTCTCTTCCCAATTGCCCGAAATGGGATTTGCAAGTGGTTGGAGGAGACCTTGAGCTCCTCCCTGAACCAGCTCGAGGGGCTTATAAAATTAATCCACTGGGTATTTTGGTATGTTCATGCTGCAGCAGCTTCTGCTGTCTAAACACAGCCTCACACACAAATGTATCCAACACTTTCTCTAAGGTTATTTTTCTTTTCCTCAAGAGAGACAGTGGAAAAGTAGCTGCGTCCAAACAAGGAGAGCAGCACAAGGGCTCCCTGACAGCTTCCTCTCCGCAGCTCCCGGAGTGTTTCTCAAGCCTCGGAGCCTGCCACAGCCATGGGAAAGCAGCGGGGAGGGAACATTCCTGGACCTCTGCCCAGCTGCTCGCACTCTGCTGTGGTTGCCCCAGATCTGCTGGGCTCCCCCGTGCCCCAGGCCTGGCAGGACAAGGAGGGGGGTCCCAGCGTCCAGCCACGACTCTCCCATCGCCAGCACTGCGGCACCTCCCGCACTGCCCTCGGGCACTGGAGCTGCAACACCTCCCACACTGATCCCTCGCCGTGCCAGATGCTCTGGACACAGCAGCTGCCTCACCCTCAGAGCCCAGCACCCCGCTCCACACGTGACCCCAGCTCGGGGGGCACAGCCCCCTCACCTCCCCACGTGATCCATGGATTCCCTCCGGCCAGCAAACACAAAGGGAAAAAAGGAAGAAGGACAACAACAGGATTTGGTTCAGAGCCTGACCAAGACTGGGAAAAGAATTTAAAAAACAGGATTGGTGTGAGAGGCTCCCAAACGCCTTGCCAGAGCCGCCTGTTGCTGGGCCAGCCCCACGGAGCAACATCTCATGCTCCCACAAGCTCCAACATCCAGCTTCGCATCCAGCTCCGCTGCCATCCGAGGGAAAACGAAGCAAAAAGCTTAAACAGCCTTTGGCTTTGTTACCAAGTTTTTACATTAATCTTGTTTTCCTTGCTGGGACAACAGCTTTTACCTGTGACATATCCAAGAGGAGCCTCAGGCCCTGGGCTGGGACAGGAGCAGGTACAGGAGCCCTCTCAGAAGTGCAGGAGCAGGCACAGGAGCCTGCCTGGAGGTGCAGGAGCCCCACTGGAAGTGCGGGAGCCCCCTTGGAGGAGGCACCTGCTCCGAGGTGCTGCACCTGGCAAGGCAGCCACGCTGCCGTCAGAGCCTTTCATGCCTCTCACTTTGATGTTCTCTTTGATGTCCAGGATTGACGCAGCACAAGGAATAGCTGATTAGATTAAAATCTGCTTTCTTTACAGTCATTAACTCCCTAAATATAAAAGTCATAAAATATTAACACTGTTTACAGACAGCCCCGTGTCACTTGTGCCCCAAGGGTCAGCAGCCCTGGCCAAGCCGGGCTGTGATAACAACAAGCAGCAGCAGCAGCAGGTGGTTAACAACACAGTAACATAAAACCAAACACTTTTTTTCGTGTTGATTTGATCTTTGCCTAAAACCCAAGGGAAAGAGAGAAAATAATAATAACAAATAAAAATTCTAATAAATAAATCAATGACCAACAAGACAGAAGAGAGGGGGGAAGGCAGAGAACCCCAGAGTGAGCAAAGCTGTGGGTGCTGCAGAGCCAGAGCAGAGCCAGTGCCAGGTCCTCTGGGATACAGTGACTGGTGCTTTTACTTCCAGCCCAGATGCATTCCAAAACCCACATGCCAGCACAGAGCAGCAGGAGCATGGTGAGCCTCAGGGGTTCTCAGGATACCTTTAGCAAGTTACACTAAAGGTTGTTGGATACAAAAGGTTCCCCCTCCACTTCTCCCAAATTGGTATTTTCACAAGATCAAAGCCAAATGCGCTTCATCACTGCCTGAAGCTCAGAGGCTCATCAGGAGCGAGGCAGAGGTTTGGCACCAAGGGAAGAAGGGAGGAGAGACATGGAAGGAGGAGATGCTGCTCACATCATCTGATCCATACCTGGCGGGGACATCCCAGTGTGTATCACCTGAGGCCATGGGCAGCCAGCCCAAAATTCACACTTTCCCCTCCAGCCACCATCCAGCTCCCATTTTTACCCATGTTTTTTTACAAGTCCACCCAACATTGCCTGAGGTTTCTCCCAGCACCAATCCTGGGCAGAGCCCCATGCTGGGATAACTGGACCTGCTCTGACAAACGCTAACTGTGCAGGTCAGTATTTTCCACACCATTATTTATTTATTTTTTTATTATTTATTTATTTATTGTGGATTTTATTATTATTTATTATTTTTATTTATTAATTTTTATTTATTTATTTATGTGATTATTTATTTATTTTCTCTCTTTCCCCCCCTTTTTTCCCCTCCTTTTTTTTCCTCCCTTCCCCCCCAAAAGCTCCAGCTCAGATTGCTCAGCCCCTTCCAAGAATGAGGCTTTAGAAGAGCTATGCTGCTCCACCCGTGCATTAACGAAAAAAATAATAAAATATGGCAACCCTTTCCTTAATTGGCTCAGCGACAGCAGGATACAAAATCTGGGCAGCAGTTATCTCTGCGCTTTTTGTTGTCCTCGGGAAAATTAGCTCAAAATCGGATCACTGTTGAAGGGAGGATAGAACGCCCCATCCAGCAGCCACATCCCGTTCCCAAAGAGCCCAGGCTGCCCAGCACAGCTCCCATGGCAGCAGGGATCCACTCCCTCATTTGAGGTCCCCCCTCAGCTCCCCTGGCCCTGCCAGCATCAGCCTTCCCAACCAACTGCCCTGAATCTCCCCTTGGGATGGGCCTGTCTCAGGAGAAACAGGGTCCTACGAGGGAACACAGCCCCCCAACTGCACAATTAGCAACAGCTTCCGACCTAGCAAAGGCACCCCAGGGACAGGGGAGGCTGTCAGGCTCCTCCAGCTAATTCAGATCCAGTGTTACCTAATTCTTCTGTGCTCGATTTGCATCAGCTGTGCATATTTAATGCCAAATTTTAAGCTTGGAGCCGCAGCCAGCACAGAGCATCCCTCGGCCCCTGCTCCTCCCTCCCAGCACACCTGAACACGCTGAACAGAACTTGGCCTTTCCTCCCATCGCTCCTGCCTTCACACATTCCTTAATAACTCCACAAATTTGTCTGAGGCTTTCTGAAAATCCCAATGATCCATCTCCCAGCTGCTCTCCCCAATCACCTTATTGACATACCAGAAAAAGAAGAACCCCCCCGTCCCCATTAAACTGGATTTCCCCTATAAAAGCCAGTGTTGCTGTCCCTAATCCATCATACTGGAGCAGCATTTCCACACCAGCTTTAATTATTTTCTCAGCCAATTTGCTTGGTGCTAAAGCAAAGCTGCTCCATGATTCCCACTGCTCTCCCTGCACCTCTTAAATAAAGGACAGAGCTGAGAGGCTGCATTCACATGCAGCAGTTCCCTTTAATGAGAGATTTGCTGGCAGTTTGGCTGCTTCATCCTTAAACCCCTCATGAAGAGCCACCAGAGTCCACCAGGCACTGGACATTTGTGCTCTTTAATTCCTCCATTTGCACAGCACCTGATTCCCTCTGGGAAT